CTCGGCCCGTTGTTGCTTCTTCGTGGACGGGGTCCACGGTCCTCTGGACCCTTCGTTGAGAGCTGGATGGTCGCTCGACGTCAGGCCGCCTCCTACGCGTCGTCTTTGGCCTCGCTGGTCTTCGCTGGGTTGTCGCCACCAGCGGTGCGATCCTTGGCGCCTTCACGTTCCAGGCGCCACTGGTATTAACTACCTGTCTCTTTTTTCCGACCATTTTCTTCGCTGGCTGTGAAAACAAAATATAAATAAGTACATATGCAACACAAAATACACTCTTCCAGGGCAGTGCGTCGACATTGCATCCTGGTCACGGCACCAATTCTGTAATAACCCAAACCTCCCGCCTTTTATTTGGCATTGAACAAAATTTGAAAAAGCCCGCTAAAGTTTAAAATTTGACCTTGGCTGTGATCGTCTACAAAAGTGGGACCCTACATTGTGTTTTGAAAACTGGCGGGAGGCGTTCGTTCATACAAATTGGCGACTCCGTGCGGGTGGTTACGGCTCTTGCCAGACTTCCGACCCTGGCTGACTCGGAGTTTACACAGCTGCCTTATCGGCGGGGGCAGGAAGGTCAACCTATGTCAGGTGGGTGCGTAAGACCACGCGCGTGAAGTGGTGAAGCAGGAGAACCTCGTGGGCCCTAACGGGGAGTATGGCCTTCGCCCTGCGTTCGCTGTGCGCCCCCCATTTTGTTTGTAGAGGCCACACTGCCATAATATCTGGAACGTTGCCATCCATTTATCTTTCCGAGGATTCCGCGACCTTTTAATTTTGTTTATTGTTGTACTTGTAAGGTTGTTAATCTTTATTCTATGTTCTCAGGTTCGAGTGAAAATAAAGGTTTTTTTTTCTCTGAGGAATAAATTCTTTAAGCTCTTCTGGGGCCCTTGGCCAAGGTCTCTTGAGCTCTTATTGGATTTATTTTTCATAGTTTTTTTTTCCAAATATAAGTTTTTTAAATCCGTCACTCTTCCCGCTCCGCAGTGCGCCAATTTGTATGAACGAACGCCTCCCGCCAGTTTTCAAAACACAATGTAGGGTCCCACTTTTGTAGACGATCACAGCCAAGGTCAAATTTTAAACTTTAGCGGGCTTTTTCAAATTTTGTTCAATGCCAAATAAAAGGCGGGAGGTTTGGGTTATTACAATGTATTGCAAAAGGTTAGTTGAACATGCCTAACTGGTTAGTAAAAATCAAAACTACCCATTATTACTTTTCTTGTTGTAGGCAAATATTTCAAAGCACCAAAAGCATGCGCAATAAAAATATAAAAATAAAATAACATAACTGACCTTCTGTCTGTTTTTTTTTTTTTTTAACTAGATACTATGTTACCAGGCATTGTTGGTCGCCTTTTCTCGACCACGTGAAAGTTATAAAACATGTTTCGAATAGTTTGTTCGAAATTTTGGTCAATATTTGTAACTCGTGGTTGTGGCTTTGTTTTTTTAGGCGTTGTAAACGATGCTTTGTCTCCAGATTTAACGACTTTGTTTTCTTTAGAAATGCTGACAAATGTATTTTTAGATATTCCTGTGGCTACCATAACTCTCTCTCTAAAATTTGCTATCGGAATAGTAATTCCCTCCTCAGCTTCTCTTTTCATAAAATCAATCACTCTAGCTATTATTTCTCTAGTCTGTGATCGCAAGAGCCTGCCTTTGCCGGTTTTCGAAGCAAACATTTCTACTACTGTAAATGAAATTAAAAAAAATACGATATTTTCTTTAAATAAACATAAATTAAAAGTGCTGCTTGTAGGTGAGCAGAGAAAAATGTTGTGCCTCGGTGGGAATCGAACCCCACGCCTCACGCTCTCCGGGCAAGCATCCTAACCACTAGACCCCGTGGCCACTTATCTTTCTCTGCTTACCGACGTCTTATTGTGCCGCCACACTGATGTTATTTATTTTATTTATGAGTAGGTACTTACTAAGAACAATAAAACTCAGAGCAAAATTGTCTTGAAAAAGACAGATTTTTTAAAACAAACAAGCAAAAAGAACGAGGAAACGCAAGGAAATAGCAAAAAGACACGAGACGCTGACACCACACACGAAGACAGTACAAAAGTAAAATAAATTAACGGCGCTACTGCCTTATGTTTCCATCCCTCGAGAGCTACGAATAGACTCGACCAACGTAACTTGCTTTACTGCGCAACCCACGTGATGGGCCTTTTTGTTGTGATTGTCACTCTATGATCCCAAACTGTTTAGAGAAGAAAGGGAGGCTGTGGTGTGCGCACGTAAACTTATCCTATTTCTTTCCAATACATTAGCTCTATATATTAGCTCTCTGTCTATCATCTCCTACGTGCGCTTATCATAGACTCCTTTTATCTAAAAAGTATGCAGTATTTCCCGCGCAAACCAGCAGTCAAATCTCGAGATTGCCTGGCCTCGTGATTTGTCACGTATTTTTAAATAACATACAGTTTTCTAAATTTGCTGAAGTAGTACTAAACTACAAAAATAAATAAACGGGTAAATTATATTCTCAAATTATAACTCCGAATTAAACATGCAATGTGAAAAGTTGATGCCGTGAACCCTACTAAGTATAAATTAAACGTCATTGTTTGCTAACTACATAATTTATTAAACTTATTATTTTAATAAGGTAAGGTATTAAACTAGACAGAGACTTGAATACTTTTTTTTACTAATTTTAATAATTCTTGTAAATGAGTAGATATTTAATAATAAAGCAATACATATTATTATCCGCAAAAAATGTATTTGCATGCTTTTGCATAAACTTCCTGCACTTAATTTATGAACAGTATTTTGGACGATGCCCAATTAATTGATAAATAATAGTATGTTGATGTAAAACGAGTATCATTACATTACTTCAAATTCTTTTAACTTTCTTTATGTAGTATATCCTGGTTCCAAAATCTCAAGAAATTAGGGTTATGGTAATTTAATTCAATCTGGGTGCTTAGGGTAAAAACTCAATAAACAACAAATGAAAAAGTATGTTATTTTTAAAAATTATATAACATTTATTGCTGTAAAAGTTGGAGATGACGTTATATGATGGGGAGGATGATTACAAATGTTGGTCAGCGTTTTATCAACCGGAAACGAAAGACCTATGTTTTCGTATTATAGGAGTCATGAAACGTTGAGAAGCCATAAAAGTAGCCAGTCGCCCGATGAACTTGATTACAATACTTCCTTAGCTTACGCTCGAGACATAAAAAAATAAACAATAACATTTGGATTTAATAGCTTATATCTGGTATACCTAAACAGTGAGTGAATTTTATGCGGCTATTATTACCATTACATATAACCATCCACTTAAATTAATTGGTAAAAAAATTTACCCTTAAATAAGTTATTGTAAAGTTATTTTTATTTACACGCGTATAATTGCACAACATTAATTGTTAGACAAATAGAATGATAAAGAAAGGCAATGTCATATTAAAAAACAAATTACTCGTTTCGATGTAAGGTACCTTATATAAGTTAACAACATACATCTATTTAGTTATTATAGGTAAAATTCTAATACGGAATTTATTCTTGAAGTAAGTCGTAAATTGTAAATAGCTATAAATTCGGAAATAATTCTTTTTAAAAGATACAAGTCAAAAATGTATTAGGCATGATTGTCAAGAAACATTCCAATTCTGTTTCAAATTTGCAAGCATTTTATGTCAAAAGCTGATTTTTGTAAACGTTCCAGTAATAAATTTCGAAGCAAAATCCACCTAAACAGATTTTGCTTCGAAATTTTAATTTTCATATTACTTTTACAACATTTTAATCTAAAAAATTAAACGTGTATCTATTATTTGTGATTATTGATGTAGAAATATCGTTTCTACAAATAAGAATACTACAAAAAATTGTGAACTCTTTTACTGGTATAAATCTTGTCCACTAAAACTTTAGAGAAAATAAGTTCAATCATTCCCGAGAAAAAATTAAAGAAAAATATTACTGTTTAGTAAAAAATTAAATTATTTGTTTATCGAACAACAAATCTATTTGAAATTTAAATTTGTAAAATTTGGAATCTAATAATTTGAAAATATTTGTAACATCTATAACAGAAAAAGAGTTGCACAAATTACAGTTGCTTTTTTTTAATTTCAGATTCATCAAAATTGTTAAGTCTCTTTTTTATTTATTTCACATTATTCTTATTGTTCTGCGCGTGAAGTTGAATACGATTTCTTTCCCAACCCCAAACCTAACGCTGAAAAGCAAAACAACAAGGAAGTACGTAAAAACGGATAACGGTACTCTATCGATTTCTGCTTGGACATGCGGCAAATCAGCACTGAATCTAAACCATGTTTCGCTTCGCCCAAGTGCGACATGCGGCAAATCTGCACCAGATCTGCACTAAACAGTAGAGGCGAAAATCCCTCGGACGCGATCTGGATATGCGGCAAACCAGTTCTAAGGTGACGGTATGTTCTGTTCATCTATTTATTAAAATAAAATATCTACATTGACAATGGGGTCATCTAACCTGTCAAATTTTTGACACATATGTTTTCCCCCAGAAACCCGTCAAGGTCACTTACACCAGACAAATTTTGAAAATTTACACTAGGGAGTGGTTCTATAGAAAAGATCACGACTTTATAATTAATGTAAGATCAATTAATTGCCGATTTTCTAATATGAAATCTTGTAAAACCTTGATACTACAGCAACACGTGTAATTTTTGAAAACAAAATAAGTGAAAATGATGCACTAAAAATTGCTCGTAAATTCACATTCATTTTTAGATTTTTAACTGCTCGTTATTCTATAGTTAATTTTTTACAGGAGCGGAAAAAATATCGCGCAACCCAAAAAACATACACGGTTTCTGGTCAAAGCTGACGGTTTGAATGGATTTTTTATTGTAAACTTCATGGGAAGACTTGCGTTCGCGTGAAACGCGTAGCTTAGCTCAATAGCTGGTTGTTCTGCGAAGATGGGGTTTTTTGGTCATAGACTACATAACTAAATAAAAAGCCGATTTCCAGTCATTCATTTATTGACATCACAGATTTGAATTGACAGAAAATACTAAATTTTACAACCTTGTTTTATTACGTAGGTGCCAGATAAGACAAAACATAATGAGAATTACACTATTACAACATTTTCGTGTGTGGTATTAAATCGATCAAAATAAAAATGTATCATTGAATACGTATTTAGAGCAACCGAACGAGGAACGCAAGGCGTTTTGAACATCATGAAAACTCCTATACAATAGAGTTAGTCCGAGAAAAAAAAGTTGCTCTAAAATCCTAGAAACACCTAATCGAAACAAAAAAGCCTGTTATTATCGTTTAAGTCAAGTAGAAATCTTAAACACTAGAAGTAGCATATTAAAATTGTGCTAAGTGAATATGAATATTGACAAAGATTCAAAATCTTCCCTACCTAATAGGAATGTTCAAGTAACTATTTACAGTATTTATAAAAATATACAATTTTAATGCGTTATTAGGGTAGCTAGTCGCTCAAACTGAATTTTTCAACTTGTTATTAGCTAATAACAAAGACAAATATTGCACTAAACCAATTACAGTATGGAGACTTGTCTATGATCATAATATATATACAATTGTGCGATGAATTAAATATTTACACGTCAAATATATACAGCGTGTTTCTTTTCACCAAGAAAATAAAATAACTGAATCAGTCGTAAAAATCTCGTTTTGGTAACGAATCAACCAAAATCCGTGGAATGTTTATTTGGAAATTATGGCAACAATAATCACATTGAAAAACCGAAAACCAAAAACTGGATTCGAGTAAGCACTAAACGAAAAGCGTAATCAAACTAAGACGACTTTAAATGCTAGGAAACTGTCATACAAGAAATCAACTGCTGACAAAGTTGATTGTAAACTAGGTGGTCTCCGGATATCCTCCGCATCTTCAACCCTTTCGAATCTTTCTGCTTGTCGATGACCTTCAGCTCGATCTGGATGCCCCCCTCGTACTCCAGAGACAACCTATCGCTCACGCTCTCCGAACTCGAGTACGTCTTCGGGGGGATTTGATCGTTGATGGTCCTTTTGACCATCTCCAGGATATCCGTCGATTGCAACTTCGAACAAACTTCGCTCAATTCAAACTCGAAGCTTCCGGAGTTTTTATGCAAATTCGTGTCGTGGAAATCCTCGCTCATCCTATAGTTCTGGAAAATCTGGAAATTCCCGGCGCCGGAATTCGTCAGTTCCTGACTTATTTGCATCTTTTCGTAGTTGTTGTCCACGGGTCTCAACCGTATGTCGCTGTCGCAGGCGTGACTGCTCTGAGTGTTCGAGCTCGAGCTCGGGCTCTGATTGCCTATGCTCAAGCTATCGTTCGACAGGGAGTCGTCCGAATACACGGAACTTTTATCAGAATTTCGCCTCAGAAAAAACTCAGACTCCTGAGTTTCGGACTCTTGGGGTTTGTTAAAAAATTTTGCTGCTTCCTCGTTCTCCTGGCTTGTTTTTCGACCGATGCCTTTTGTGATCGACGGCAGGTTTTCTGATGGCTCCGATATTATAAACGAGGGAATTTTTGAGATTTTTTGGTTGTCGAGGCTGTCCATGGAGTCTTCCGAGGTGTCGGAACCGGCCACTAGAGTTACTTCACTTCCTGAAAATAAAAACCGATTTTTTGTTTACCCATACATGCTTGAAAGTGACATACCTAATACATCCGTCACGGAGATCTGCGGATGCCCCACATTCTGTTGATCGTTCTTTACCATACTGTGCATGTGCGGCAGTTCCTCTTGTATCATATCCAGTCCCGGACTTCCCGGATTACTAATGGGCGAATTCGTCAAACTTCTATGGTTGTGTATGTTCAGAATGTGATGCATGTGGTGACCTTGATGCAGAAAGTTCGGTTGAAAGCCTGCTAAGCTCGAATAGCTCGTATCCATCTTGTCGTCCTGCAGCTGCTGGTTTCGTATTTCCAGCTGAAGACTAGTAGATGGCGTCCCTTGCGTTATGGAACCAGCGCCGGTCGTATTCAAGCCGCTTATGCCTATATTATAACATAGCAAACGGATATTGAAAAAAACTGTGCTCGATACTCACCTTGTGTGATGGATGAGATGGTTCCAGGCGCAGCGGGCGTTGGAACGTAAGTCCCAAAAACCGGAGACGTGCTGGGACTCAGTAGCGGGTTCATGATGGGTGAGTTGGTTCCAGAGTACATCGTCAGGTTGGGTACTTGTCCGAAGAGGTTTTGTTGTATGGGAGAGTTTAAATTGCTGCTGGGATTGGTACCGAACGGTGAAGTATGGAGAGGACTATTTGCGAAACTGCTTTGGTACGATTCAGGGGATGGACCCAACGATGGGTCCGCGGAGTAGAACTGATGGATGGGTGAGGGGCACTCGGTCATCTGGTGACGAATTTGCGAGTCCGAGACGAGTTGGTGGATGGGAGATCCTACGGAATTAAAAATTATTATTGATGGGAAGAGTTTGCTTGGACACGCCTACTAGTAGGCGGGGTCAAGGTAATGTAAATCACACCTTAACCTCAACGAAAAAACATGTCAATAAGATTATGAAAACAGTACTTTTGGAATCATTTTCCGTGTCCTTATTTACGGAGACGGCTGAAAACTATAAATAGTAGCAGTGTTTTTTCTATTTCTATCTCAAGTTTATACCCGAGTGGTCACGGATAAAAAAAAGTTAGGGCTCGTGTGGGATTCGAACCCACGTCCACCGATAGTTCAAGTGTTCAGCTCGGCGCTCTAACCAACTGAGCTAACGAGCCATTCCTATTTCTAGAATTGGTTTGGTAACGTAGGGGCCAATTCCAAGTTGGTGGCGCAAGTCACTGGTGCAGCGCAACTTTATAATGCTAATTTGGGTATCAAATGCTGGTTGCTAGGGGTGACGGAATAAACAAGCGCAATTTTTCGAGATAAATTGCGCCAACTTGCACTGCCTACTAGAGGTGCCGCAACTCCATGGTGCAAATTTCAATGGAAAATTCGAAAAATTGCGCTTGTTTATTCCGTTACCCCTAGCAACCAGCATTTGATACCCAAATTAGCATTATAAAGTTGCGCTGCACCAGTGACTTGCGCCACCAACTTGGAATTGGCCCCTTAGACGTTGTAAACGAGCAACAGTCAGCGTCGGACTGGCCCGCCCAGTCCTGATCTTTTAGGGTCCCTAAAGCATCACTTTAAAAGGTAATTTTATTATTTAAAAAAATATACATTACGAATATAGGTACGCGTATTCCGATAACTTGAGCTCGTGTTTATCACTGTTAGAAAATAATCAGTTGTGGCTGTGTAAGAATGCATAAATTGCGGTAGTGTGTAGCGCTGCCAACTTGAAGGAAAATCCCCTGAAGTAGGAGGGACATTTTTCTGCTTGACAGCACTAGTTCTGCGAAAATCAAATTTTGATAGAGATAATGAGGTCCACTAATAGTATATGTAATCACCTGTTCACCGAAACCCTCATATTTTAAATAGCTGCCATCATTTTCTACACTGTAGCTTTCTGTCAGTACTTATTATATGTATTATTAAAGATAAGTTAGTTCTCGACGTTTAAATCAACTAGATTGATTGCTCAAAAACAGATTAGTTATTATAACTACAAGGGATTACATTTTGCTCTTTTTTCTTAATATGTGTAGTCTTCTTTTCACAACAAGAAAGGTAAAACATGTTTAAAATGATAAATGTTTGTACGAAAGTATCGATTTTGCAATTAGGCTTCGCCCCTCGATCTGACAACGAATGAAAAATTCATCAGGGTTGAGATCGAGTCGGATGGGCGGGGCTTCTCTTTTGGTTTTCTTTTTTAATTAATACATTTAGTATACATATATTTCACATGGTAATTTTTCGTAGAAACATAAGGATTTTACAATTACGCTGCGCCCCTCGACTTACGATGAATAAAAAAATCATCAGAATTGCGATAGGGCGGGTGGGCGGGGCTTATATTTTGCCTTTTTTTAAAATATACATAGCCTTTTTCATAAAAAGAAACTTAAAACATGGTTAAATGATTTTTGCAAGGAATTATGGATTTTGCACTTATGGGGTGGAAACTAATTGCAAAATCGATATTTCCTTATACAAATGTTCCATTTTAAATGTTTTAAGTTTCATGTTGTGAAAAGAAGTCTACATATATTAAAGCAAAAAGGCAAAATGTAAGCCCGCCCACCCACCCTATCTCAATTGTGATGATTTTTTTTATTCGCCGTGAATCAAGGGGACGGAGCTTAATTACAAAATACTTATTTTTTTACAAGAAATTAAAAACATGTTTTTGAGTATCGTGTTGTTTAAAGAATACTATGTATATTAAGAAAAAAAGGTAAAGTATAAACCCCGCCCACCCATCCCATCTCAATTGTGATTTTTTTTATTCTTATAAACTTAAGTACCTTTAAAATGGATTTTTGTAAGCAAATATGGATTTTGCAATTAAGCCCCGCCCCTCGATCTGCCAACGAATAAAACATTTATCACAACTGAGAATTGAGACCAGGATGGGTATGGGTGGGACCTAATCTTTGGCTTTATTTTTCTCTTAATATACACAGTATTCTTTGAACAACACGATCTTCAAAAACATGTTTTTAATTTCTCGTAGAGAAATAAGGATTTTACAGTTCCGCCTGCTTGGCTCACGACGAATAAAAAAATCATCACAATTAAGATAGGGCGGGTGGGCGGGGCTACATTTTGGCTTTTTTTCTTAATATGTGTAGACTTATTTCCATAAAAACGAACTTAAAGCATTTTTGTTCAATTTTACCGATCTGTTTTGAGGCGATAAATTCATTCAAATCAAACCAATGTCTACGTGACATTCTTCCAATGTATAAATATAAACATTTTAAGCACTACGCATATTGCTGAGAGACCACTTTTGTCGTTGGTAATGTGTAAATATATTTTACAATGTCCGTACTTGTGTAGAGACGGTTTATACAGATATGCTTGCGCTGCTGGAGCATCAAGCCCTAGACGTTAAGCCTGAATGTAACGGAAAGTATAATTTATTTGGTTTTGATTTGGTTATTACAAAAATACGATTTCATCTGCGATTGACCGTTTGTTGACACATATGATCTCGAGATTGAGCAAAATGCAAAATTGGCCACTTCCGGGCGTTCCAGTAATTTATGACTTGCAGCCAGTGAGCCTGTAATATATTTTTTTTTAATGTTATAAGATAAGATACTCCTGCGCTTGTGGTGTGTAAATCGAATTTTGACCCCAGACATCACGAATTTTTGGAAACTGCAAAACCGAATGCTCTGAAATCTTTACACGTTATCCGAAAACATTTTTTTTTATTTTTCGAAGACGCAGGATTTGTTGGACTGTACTTCAAAGGCGAAGGAAGTTCTATCGAAGTAACCTTGGACCAAATTTTGTTCGTATTAAGACAATACGTACGTTGTAAGCGCAATGTGAATGTCGTAAATTTTTTCTCAGAGAAAATAGAGTTTAAAATTAAATTTCAATAAAACAGGGACAAAATATGTCAGTAAGGATTCTTAAGGACAAAAAAAAAACAATCATCCTATGTTAATTTACCTCGTTTTTAGGCGTTTTTAAAATTGGAAAGAAAATTGTCCCGAACTACAACCAGAACCAACATTGAATCCGTCGACAATACTATTTATGTATAAATATATAGAACGTTTTCTAAAAATTGTCAAATTTGATTCAAGATATAACAACAATTTTAGAAAACGTATATGCAACGTACGCAATATCGGGCGAGCAACATAATTTGTAATCGAGTCATCCTTGGAACTGAACCCGCATATCTTCTCTGAAATGATATGTCTAAAGCTATGCCATAGAAAAGTTTTTATCAAAAATTTTAATTGCCGATAGTTTCTAAATTGAAACAAACACCCAAAAAGCCAATCACCACGATCCTTATAAAGTGATTTTTAACTTATATTTAAATTTTACGTCATCGCTTTGTTACTTTTAACAACTGTCACATACAACGTCCCCTTTAACCTTGATTTTCCTCTTTTCTTGCTTGTCGTTGCTTCTTTACATTCTTGACAGTTCACCTTGTTATTACACGTTATATCACGGGATACGTAATAAATAGGCTTCGGATCTTAGGTTTTTTGCCTTTTTATATATTTATCCGAATTTAAAAAAATCTGTTTATTTAACGCCCATTTATTACTACCTAAAATGCCTAATTTACCGTTAGAGACCTAAAGTGTTAACTAAACGACCTAATTGCAAATTTTAAAAGACTTAAAATAGGATTCCACGACCAACGAAGCGGACGTGCTTGCACAATAGAGATTTTCCGTGAATTCATTGTTTTGGCTGGCAGATTGTTTAAAAATGGGTTGTAAACAACGCCCTTGAGTTTAATGGTACGAGTTGGTGTCGCCAACTGACAACGCTGGCTTGCATTTCATTTAGATTATAGCCGGAAGGAGGTGAATCTCTGAAAAAGCATTTTATTTTAAAAGTTTATTGTTAGTGATACTGAGCGTCTTTGCGTGTTAGTGATTTTTGTGCATACAGTAAAGAATCCTCAAAATGCCTAAGGTAAAATCATCCATGAAAGATAAAATCAAATTATGGTTAGAGAATAATTTGGACACTAACTTTCTATTACCTTCTTCACCCAAAGACAATGAGTTATTCTGCAAAGTGTGTGGAAAAGTTGTAAGTAAACATTTAAAATAATGAAGCTTGAATTATGTTCACACTTTTGTTTCCTAGTTTAAGTGCGAAAAAAAATCACACTTTGAACAACACTGCAGTGGCGATGCACATAAAAAGAACGAGTATAAATCCAGTAAACAGACTTTATTAAACATTAGTTCCGACAATGATTTTACGCAATTTTGCACCGATTTATGTAGGGCATTTACCGCAGCAAATATTCCATGGAATAAAGTTAGTTGTCCTGAGTTTTAAATTTCATGCATAAATATACAGGATGGCATTTACCCTCAGAAAGCACTCTGAGAAAGAAAATATTTACCAAAAGATTACGATATGGTGAGCACTAGAATTTTTATTTAAAAATTTTTTAACATAAATTTTATAATTTACAGGTAATTAAACAAATTAGAAATTCTATTGGCAATAATAATACATGGATTAGCGTCGATGAGACGACGGACAGGTTAGGAAGATACATAGCCCATTTACTAATTAGAAAGTTATCTTCTGAAGAAGCTGGCCGTCCATTTCTACTAGCTTTGAAGCAGCTTGATAAAACTAATAGCAACACAATCTCGAGATTTATAAACGAATCATTGGATGTGCTATTGATAATTTTAAGCATTGAAATTATTATAATTTATTTAATTGTTAATGTTTAGCTTTATTGTGGCCAAAAGGAACTGAACACAAAAAAGTTAAATGGTTTGTATCAGATGGTGCTTCATACATGATCAAAACTGGTACTAATTTGAAGGTGTTTTATGAAAATATAACACACTTAACATGTATGGCACATGGGTTATATATAGTGTCTGAAACAATTAGACTGAATTATCCGGATGTCAATGGGATAATTAGCAATGTTAAGAAAAACTTTTTAAAAGCACCAATAAGCGTAGAGTTTTATAAAAACAGCACCAAATACACCTCTCCCACCTGAACCTGTATTAACCAGGTGGGGCACTTGGATTCAAGCAGTATTGTTTTATGCAGAACACTTTGATGTTTTAAAACAAGTCAGTAAATATATAATGGTTTTTACTATCATTTTTATATTGAATATTTTTAAGTTGTAATGTCATTTGAAGCCACAGATGCACAAAGCATTAAAAAAGCTCAAGAATTCCTGAATAAAGCAAACGTTAAAAATAAACTCTTGTACATTAAAACTCACTTTAAAATTAAACCAAAGTATGGAAATTGTGGAAAAAGTGTATATATCTTTAACACACCAGGAAAGGTGGGGGAAATGGCGTTCCAAAAATTATGTTCTCTATTAAAAAAGAATCCAGGATACGATTTTATATGTTCAGTGGATAACATAATTTGCGGTAATGGAAATGCTACCAACAATACATACATAAATGAAAACGTAGATTGTTCAATATTTAATTTTGCACCCATCACTTCTTGTGATGTGGAACGCACGTTTTCAAAACTTAGAAGTGTTTTAAGCGATCAAAGGTGTAAATTTATAATCGAAAATTTAGAGAAATATATAGTTTGCTTTAGTAACTCATTTTAAATACCTGAATTAATATTTTATTTTTTGTTAAATGCGACTTGCTTTAATTTGATCGCCATTTTTTTGCGAGAATTAGGACGTAACTATAGATCGTTTGTTTGTTTAATCATTTTTTTGTTTGTTACACAAAATATTTGTTTCATGTTTTTTTTTAATATATATTTTTTAGATGTAGGTATGCTTTTTCGTTGAGCAAATATTTTTTCCTCCAGGTTTTTAAACTAAACTAAGATTTTTATAACCTAATTCGTCAATTTTGGGACCTAAAAATGTCTCCTTTTATTCATTTTTTAACGACCTAAAATCCGAAGCCTAGTAATAAATGGGACAAAAATCTTATAAAAGCGGAACATCGGAAGCAAAATTTAGTCGAATCCCAGGGTGCTTCTGATGAACTGCCAAAATTTTCCAACTTGAATCGGTCGTATTAAATGGTTAATTTATGAATTTTTGCTTTTATAGAGTGGAATTTTCTTTTACTATAATTTCATCATTTCTTGTTACTGTGTAAGGCATGTTAGATATTTCTAGATGCAGCAACTGATTCAGAGTTTCCATTAATACTAACAAGGGAACCACTGGACCTAAACTCTGGTTCGATCTGTAATAATTAAGGCGGAATTCATGAATATTCAAGTCTCCAGTATTAAAAATACAAAATATTCTTCAGAACTCCAGCCAGGAGGAAAATATGCTATATAAATACAAATGTATGAGGGTCTTTGCCAACACAATTTTATACGACGAGTTGCGAGCTTCGTTCGCTCCACCAACTCACTCACCTGGAATCGAGCGCGGCGGGCTAGACCTCGCTTGCAAGCCCCTCTGAAGCCTCTGACACTCCTGTTGTGGGGTCGAAGGGCTCAAAGTGCGCGAGCCCGACGCCGAGCCCTCGCTGCCTCGCCTCACCGGACTGAACCTCTCCATAGATTTGGGTTCCCGCCCTACGATACATGCATTATATATTGAATGTGGCTGATTTCGTACCGCTTAACACTTCAGCGAAATGAAAAAAAGCACTAAAATAAAAAAAAAACACAAAAACAAACCTTGCAACTCTTGTACTGTGGGTAAATGCGGTTTGACAGCGTGCCGCGAGAGTTTTCGTTGTGACAACATGGGAGGCATGTGGTTACGCTTCATGCGTGCTTCAACTTCCATCACTACTTCGGGTGGGATTACTAAACAAGGCATGCAAATTACACAAAAACTCAACAAAAATAAAAAAAAAAAAAAATTTGTAAAGCAAGCAACAAACACAGGTCTAACACAAATCGTTATGGATTCACAAGAATTGACAAAAAATGAACGTGTACCTGGCGGGCGTTCCATCACTGTTAAGAGACCGGTACGTCGGGTACGTACTCCAGAGCCACCGGCTGACTGTAGAGAATGGACTTCTTCGGGGTTGGCCATGGTGTGGCGTTTCGCGTTGCCCCTACCTTGCATGTACCTGGGGGATATAAAATTTGAGTTACCGTAGTTGCAACGGTTACAAATTGCGTTTGGAAAATTGGGTCATAAATACCCCATCTTTCAAACCACTTTCAGACAAACTTTCAAAAATCCATGGTCGTCTTTGATCCTGTTTTCTATTGTTCTCTCGATATTAAGTACTGCGGTAATGTATTAGTATTTTACAGCAAAGTACTTTTTTCACAAAGGAGATTGAATCGAGATAGATGAGTTATTTTAAAGAACTAACGTCACTTAAAAATGACGTCACATGGTTAAAAAAAAACACTGCAGCTACCAGACCTTAACGTAGTTAATACCTTGCCACTGCTGCCAACTCGTCCAACGCCGGCTGCTCAAGCGGTTGCGTCACCGTCCCACTGCTCAAACTGGGATTCCCACTCGAGCTCGTCGACATTATCGATAGTTGTTCGTGCGAGCCCGGCGTGCCCCAAGCCATGTGTAAATTAGCTCCACCATCCGACGCCCTCCTGCCGAAGCCGCCCGCGGCGTTCAGAACGGTCGGAGGCTTAAGCAAATGGGGATCTTTCCCTCCGAAGTAGTGGGGGTTCTGTTGGCCCAAAATGGGAAGATGTAAGGGAAGATTCGTATGGGGAAGTAGTTTCGTTCCGTTGGGGTCCTGCTGAGCTTGGGCCATGTAGTGCGTTTCGAGAACCTAGGTATCATCGTCAGAGGTAAGAATTTACGGTTTAGTGATTGTGTCTACCTGTTCGTGTGCTGAGTCTCCAGGTCCCACGGTGTGTCTCCGCACCGTCAAGTAGCGGTCGCCTGACGATGAACAACTTCCGTAACCTGTAGTCGAAGAGGAGGGGACACTTAAGGAACACGCCTCCTCTGATGCGTCCTGATCCATTTCCTTGAACTTAAAGAAAACAGTGACGTTAAAGAGAAGTTTTTTCCAAACTCAAAGTAGTAACAAGAAAAAAAAACTAATACGATAATTCTCTTAACCCGACGCTCAATTCTCTTTTTTGAATACTATATTATGTATTATGTTCCTGAATGCTTCCTATTCCAGAAAACTCTCGTCTACAACGATGACTATTGGTATGCAACACGGATTGGTTTTTAAAATAGGTTTGATTACATTTATCTTACTCAACCTGTATGATGAAAGGCTCGTAAGACCTTCAAAATACTCTGTCTCCATACTAGAAACAAACAAAATCTCTCAACTTACTTCGAATGACAAGTCTGGTATGTAAAAACGTGTCTGAAATGGAATTATTTATTCTCCCATGTGACAAACAATTATCCTTTTTTAGTGTATACTTTCACAAGTTATATGTAGATAATTTTTATCGTGACACTAAAACAAGGCTAGGGAAAGGAAAAAAGATAATAAAGATAGTTTGTAATTGCTTTTTACCGTGCTATTGGTCGTAAATTGTTACTTGAAATTTCTTATTTTTGAAATATAAAAACAATTGTTCATATTATGTATTCAATAAATAAGAGAAATCATAATACAGCTTTAATTAAAAAAGTGTACGTACAGACAGCATCTTGTTTGCAGCAATCTTAACATATTTATACTTTCTACGTTGTATTTAAATATTACTGTGGGATCTAACAGTGATTTGAACATCGATATCCATATTAAACAAACATGGCCTAGTAGTTCGAGTCAAATGTTGATTTTTTCAGCGTTTCGGTATCTACATACATGATCATTGTTTATTTATTACTTTCCTTTGTTCTCAGTAAGTCTTTACAAAACAGTTCTTTTCAGAACTATTGTGTTCAAACGTTTTATTTGTTCTTTTTTGTTCGTTGTTATAATAAACGAGGTTATTGTTAAACCTGCCAAGGTCTCAAGACCTATAGTGCTTGTTAATCTAATAGAATATACATGTTTTCCATGAAAAGCACAGCAGTGGTGATCTTTAGATAACTAAAACTGTTCATGAAAAAGTATTCATCAGTTGGAAAGTCATAGTGACACCGAAATTTCCACAAGCAAAAGGTCTTGACAAAGACTGAAAAATGAAAATGAAAACGTGATAAAGTTCAATGTAAAAAGACAACAGTAACATTATATCGAATTTCATTGCTGAAGATTCTGTTAACCTCAAAAATTGGTTGGGTAACTAGCGCCATCTCTCCATATATTTTGAATAATTATGAATGACGGAACCACGGTGGTAGAAGTAAGGTGTGGAAACAAGCCGCTCCAATTTGTTGAATAAAACACGCATCCCAGTAGGCTTATTTACTACGAAATAGTATGCAGCACAGTATGTCCATCTATGTATTAACATTTCAACTTGTCAGTGTATTTATGAATGAAATAAGTGACAGATTCGTTGGAGGGAAAATAAATCACAGCACTACGGTTTGTGGTTGGTCTTTGATGTGAATCGTGTGATTGGCGGATGATTCGACATTTGTGATTGGGTAATAAATGACATTGGCATAAATGTCAAAGACTTAATACAGTTTTCTATTACTTAATTTCAACTGATCTCTCTAGACGTCGCTGCGGTGTGGACAGATAATGACATATAATCCAAACCACGCGATTTGTGTTTTATACCAATGATTTTGAGGAAAGTTATGAATGAGGTTTCCACACCTTACTTCTACCACCGTGGACGGAACACAAAAGTTTGGCTTTCAAACGTGTCGATGATTTTGGCAAATGACATACTCTCTAAGAAAATAGAGGGTGGGTGGGCGAGGATAGTATTTGTTAAGATAAGACTGATTTTGGCATTTTCGACCATTTATATCCGAAAATTAGTTGAAGACATTTTTTTTCTTGTAGATTTCGATATCCAGAAGTCATTTTCGCCTTCATTTCTTCGGAAATTCTACTGTTTTTCTAAAATCGCTGACCAAAATACAGCAATTTTTCGTTTCGTCGCAATAGTTCTCTATAAAAATTTTGTAGATAAAAAAGGAAATTATTATTAATTTTTGTTCCATTATTTCATTATTAGTTTCCACTCCCACTCGACAGAAGAACATAATTAACCCCGCCCACCCACCCCGTCTTCTTTTCAGTAATTGATTTTATCCGAACTGAATGAAATGAATGATCTTATATTGAACAGAAACAAAATTAGTAGTTAGAATGAGAAGAGGGTGGATGCGCGATGCTAGTACTTGCTAAGATAAGGCTGATTTTAACAAAAAAAGTTACGTTAGCGTTTTTTTTACTTTTCCACATTCTAGATTCTATAATTAGTTTCCATTCCCACTCAACAGAAGAACATAGAAAATATATAAAAAATCGAAAGGTCGGAGAATCTAAAATTCCAGAAATCGAGATATTGAAAAATCGGAAAGTCGAAAAATTGAAATAGCGAAAAATCGAATTTCCGAAAAACCGAGAAATTGAAAAATCCGCAGATCGAAAAGTGGAAAATATTTGAGAATTGTAAAATTGTAAAATCGAATTCCTAAATGAAGAAATGGAAAAATAAAAGAATCAACAACTGAAAAACCGAAATATCGAAATGTTGAAATGTCGAACATCGAGTTATCGAATAGTCGAAAAATCGAGAAACTGAAATATTTGAAAATTGAAAACACCAAAAATTGAAACGAAAAATTAAAAAATGGCAAAGTCGAAGAATAATATTTATTAATATTATTTTTGTTAATACAGCTTCATCTGTCATAAATCTAAAAAAAAATGGTCTAAAGAGTTTAGACAGTACTTAACTCGCTGTCGGGAACACGACGACTATTGTGTTTTTTTTCTCATTACATTTTTGTAGCGGGGCAAATTAAAAAAAAAAATGCGATGACGTCATCAACATTTTTGCAAGGACACGTATATGAGTTTGGATAGATGTAGTGGAATACTAAAAATAAAAGTACTGTATTCCCAAATTTTCGGGAAATTGAATTGGGTCGTCTTGAATATTGATTTATAATCAATAAAATAACGAAACAGATTACTCACATATGCCGCGTGTATTAGCAGAGGCGAATCAAAATGATGTATGTATAAGCATTCTTAATTTAAGACAACAAGCGATAACATTTGTTGAGATTGTACACGTGAGAGTCAAACAGAGAAACTGCAAACAATACCGATGGTCGCCCAGACTTTTTTTATTGCTTCGACTTCCGCTTATTATATAAGACATTGGGTTTTATTTCAATTTTTGATGGTGTAATTCATAATTGGTTGATCATAACTTGTCTATACTACATTCACGGGACCTAGTCAACGCAATAAAACAAATGCACGTCTGTTTCAAACGAGTTTTTACTTTACAAAATTTTGTGTCTATCAAATTGGGTTGGTGCAATGTAATACTAATAATAACAGTGTTGAATCTCCAAATTTGCTGGAATGGAGTGAACTATTCCTGACTTAATTAATAAAATAAATTGACTCATTCATTAATTTTTTTGAGCGACCTGTTAAGCAAATCTAAAAAATATGAATGGAATGATAAATCACAAGTGCAGATTCATCATATTTTTTCATTTTAGACAGGACATATTCAGCAAAATTTTGGGATGACGTCATCAATTTTTTTTAGGGGGGATGAGCAAAACCATTTTGATTAAAAATTTATCATGCTTATGATAACTGTAAAACATCTCCAAGATTTCAAAGCATTCGGTTTTGTAGTTCCTGATTAAATCAATTAATTAAATTCACCCATTTATTAATTTTTTGATCACCTGTATATGCAAATCCAAAAAATATGAATAGAATGCTAAATCACAAGTACAGACTCATCATATTTTGTTGTACATTTTAGGTAGGATTTATTCGACAAACTTTTGAGGTGACGTCATCAATTTTTTGGAGGGGACAACTAAATATATTTTGAATAAAAATGTATCACACTTAACATCACTTTAAATCATCTCCAAGATTTCAAAGCATTCGGTTTTGTAGTTCCTGATTAAATCAATTAATTAAATTCACCCATTTATTAATTTTTTGATCACCTGTATATGCAAATCCAAAAAATATGAATAGAATGCTAAATCACAAGTACAGACTCATCATATTTTGTTGTACATTTTAGGTAGGATTTATTCGACAAACTTTTGAGGTGACGATGACGTCATCAATTTTTTGGAGGGGACAACTAAATATATTTTGGATAAAAATGTATCATACTTAACATCACTTTAAATCATCTGCAAGATTTCAAAGCATTCGGTTTTGCAGATTCCAAATTAAAGTGCTAAATGTTTTCATAATTTTGATTTTTTTCAAAAAATCTGAACGTTTCGGGTAAAAACTCAATTTGGAGTCATAAACTACGTATGTAGGACTATGTTATTTTATACAATTTAAAACCCATTTACTATGTACAATTTTGAAGTGACGTCATCGCATTAGTGATGGGGATGATTAGGCAAATTTTGGTTAGCGTTTTACCATCTACATGATATTCCAAATATAAATACAAAATTTCACAACAATCGGTGCCTTACTTTCGGAGATTATCTGTCTAATCAAAATCCGGGACGGCAGACTGACGGACAGACAGACGGAAACGGGAGGCCTACTTCTTCGTCTTCTAGGGGTCATAAAAGGTTGAGAAAATGTAAAAGTAGAGAGTCGTCCGACAGACTCGATTACAATACTTCCTTTGCTTACGCTCGGGAAGTAAAAATGTTTTGGACAAACGCTACGTACTTTTCGTCACAGAATCCGAATCTGTAATAAAAATTCGGAGTTCCTATTTAAGATATCAAAGTTGCCTCCCGCTTCACCTACAAATAGCGGTGAGGGGATTAGTTTTTTGCACCAAGGTATTTCCCCCATGAAATGATAAATTTTGAATCAGAATATTTTTTTTGTAGAGTGCTTATTTTTAGAGATATCTGAAAATTTCAGGTTAAAAAAATCACCCTGTGTAATAAAAATTGTAGGTTTTA